GCTTGAGTTAAGATGACAAGCCAAAATAAGATTGGGGAGACAGTATATACATACCTATTAGTGAGGACTCTTAATTTAATGTGGCTAGAGGCCAAATTCCCATGGAATTAAGAAAAAACATAAATTTACTGGCTCATGTAACCAAAAAGTTGAAGGCTAGGGATTGCTTGGCTGATCCAGGAGCCCAGCTAATGTCACGGCCTCCATCTCTTGCTCTCCCTTCTTGGGTTGGCTTCACAGTGGTGGCTGGAGGTGACCCCACACCTCCTGCCCTGTGCCCTGCTGTTTAGCCAGAAAGTCCCGCAGAAGTCTCTAGCTAACTTTATTGTCCGAAGTTGGTTCCTGTAGCCTAGCCGTCTCTGAACCAGCAGCGCAGCCTGGGAATGAAAGGAATGCATGTGTCTCTACATCTGGAGTTCAAGATAGTCAGAGTGTGGCGAGGAAGAGGGGTGTGTATCTCCCTCGGGGCTGATAGAAGTTCCACTTGCTTGAAGCACAGGGGTCTGATCTGAGGCCTGGTAAGCCTGTGAAGAATTGTATCGGAGGATAGTGGGGAGCCTTGTCTGAAAGTAGCGTTCCTTCTGGGAACAGGAGAAACAGGGTTACCAGGCAGGAGGCTGTGGGGAATTGGGGGCGAGGTGGGCCTGGGACCTGGGGAGGGGCAGCTGTTTGCAGTGACCCTGGGTCTCCCCACAGGGAAGCCAAGCTTAGGAGCTAGTGCACATGGTTAATGCAGCAAGCTGACCCTATAATCTTGTAAAACCAAAACCTTAAGTACTACCCCCTCAAAAAAACAAACACTAACTGGCATCTCCCACCCACCATCACCCCTGCAATTACCAGGTAGCAGTTGTAGGCCTGCTTTCTGTCTATGACTTTAACTACCGTCAGTGCCACAGCTAAGTGGACTCCTGCATACTTGTATCTCCTCGAGCTTAATGTCCGGAGGGGTCATCTAAGTCACCACACATGGCAGAACCCTCTCCCCTTTCAAGGCTGGTACTAGTCCATGGCGTGCAAACACATCCTTTGCTTCTCCATTCTCCATGGGATGGCCAGTGGGCAGCTTCGGCCTTTGACGCTTGTGCGTCTGCTGTGAACCTGGCTGTACAAATAGGTCGTCAGCTGTGTTCCAGTTCTTTTCGGTAGACACCCAGGAGCAGATTGTTGATCACCTGGTAATTCCCTGTTGAATTCTTTTGAGGAAGCTCTGTTTGGTTTCCCACAGTAACCGGCCCGTCATATATTGTCTCCAACAGCTCATGGGTTCTAATTTCCATACCTCCTTGTCTACTTGCTTATGCTTTTTACTCTTTTTTTTTTTAATTTAAAAAAATAATTAGTTATTAATTAGGGGCATGGGAGAGGGAGAATAGAGAGAGAGCAGAGCAGTGGGAAAGAAGATCACTAGCTACAGGTTTTAATAGTCGTCAACTGGGTGTGTGGGGACCCGCTGTAGTTTCTATTTGCATTTGCCTACTGATGGTTGAACTTCATCTCACATGCTTATTGGCCACATGTCAATCTATTTTCGAGAAATGACTATTCAAGGCCTTTGCCGTTTTTTCTGAATCCTGTTGTTTTTGCTGAATCCTTGGAGTTCTCTATGTATGCTGGATACTAATCCCTTAGCTCTATGTGATTTGCAAATATTTTCTCCCACTCAAGGGTTCCCTTTCTACTCCACACATAGTTCCTTTTGATGTACAACGTGTTTGAATGTTCGTGAAGTCCAGTTTGTTTTTTTTTTCTTTTGTTGCCTGTGCCTTTGGTGTCCTGCCCAAGCAATCGTGGGTGGCTCGGATGTGCAGGGGCGGTTGATGGAACTGGCTGGGCTTGGGTGGGTGGGGGAGAAGGAAAGGGGGAGCCAAGACTTTTGATCTGAGCACAATGAGCCACTACCAGTTACGGGTGGGAGGGAAAACCAGATTAGTTTTGGATGCGTTAAGTGTGAAGTACCAGCTCAGACTCAAGACTCCAGACTCAAGGCTCCAGATTCAAGTGCACCCCAGACAGTTTACACTCTAGTCTGGTACTGAAGAGAGGTATTTGGGCTAGACCTGACCATCCAGGAGTCTCTGCAGAAGAGGAACGCCAGGCTGGTAGGGACACACACAGAGTATGACCTCCCGCTCTCTGTGCCACCCTGGCCAGGTTTGGCCCAGGATAAGGAAAAAGCCCGAAACTTTCTTGATGTGAGGGGTGGCAGAGAGCAAGAGGAAAACAGCCAGACATTACCTCTTTGGCATCGGATCAGAAGCCGCCCCAGCCCGGCTGCTCGTTTATAGAGTGTGGGCTTGGGTGTGTATATGTGCCAGGACTGGAGGCTGCGACTCAATTCACCTTTATGTTCCGGGTGCCCGGCACCAAGCCTGACCCTGGGAGAGCACCTGCCAGTGGGTGTTGATGGAGCAAATGAATGGAGTCTGTGTGTTCCTCTGTAACCGACAGGAAAGGTTTATGGTGGGAAGACACCATTCCTCAGCGCTTGACAAAGTGTGGTTCTTTAAAGCGCTTTTCCCGAAGCCTACCCTGCATACATAGAGGGACACAGGTCCTAAGTGGGTATCTGTGAATGCCCAGCACCCACCCGCACGACACCTGTGCTTTCTCCAGTCATGCCCTCTGTAGACGTAAAAACATGCATGCATTCTCTTTTGTCTTGGCTTTCTCTGTGTTGTGGTATAAAGTTCTGGCTTGTTCTTTTTCATGGCTGTTTAGTATATATTGACTTATTTATCCATCCTCTTGTTAATGGACATTTGGGTGGTTTCCAGTTGGGAGCTATTACAGATAGTGCTGCCGGGAACGTTTCTATCCATGCCCTTTGGTGATAAGATAAATGCATTCTGATGGATAGATACTAAGTGGTGGAATTGCTGGAAGAAGGTGCGTGCTCATCTTTCATCTGCTATGCCAGAGTTTTCCAAAGGGATGGTGCTCGCTGCTCTTCCACCAGAGCAGGAAAGTTCTGGTGGCCTCACATCCTTGTTAACACTTGGTACTTTTTAAAGCCATTCATATATATAGCGGTCCCACATAGAACTTTAATTTGCATTTATGTCCTGATAGATAATGATATTGAGCAGCTTTTCATGGGTGCACCAGTGAAGTATCTCTTCTCACGTGCCTGTTTTTCTAATGAGTTCCCTGTCCTGTTGCATTGATTTCACGGAGCTCTTTAGAAGTCTGGATGCAGATAATCTGTTTGATAAATATATTGAAAATATCTTCTTCCATTTGTAACTCTTTTTGATCATTAAGAGGAGAAATCAGGAATCTTGAGCCTCAAAATCATTGACTTGATCATTGGGCAAGCCCTACGCCTATCTGAACCACAGTATCCTCTCTAAACCCTGCAGTATTTAGCTCAGTGCTTGGTGTACAAATGAAGCTGTGCCTGTCTTTAGCACCTCTGTGAGGGTGATAGCACCCTGAGTAAAATGGGCAAAACTAACCCGGTGGGGCTTTTCCACCGAAGTCACCCCAACTTCTTAGGTCAGCTCTGTAAATACCTGCTGGGCACCTGTTATATACCAGTCTCCAGACGAAGCATAGACAGTACAGCAGTGAACAAGACTGCTACCCTTGGGGGATGTCTCAGGGGTGCAGGGGGCTATGGGAGTCTGAGCCAGGCCAAGGCTTCCCAGAGGACTCCCAGGAAGAAGCAGACCTTGCGCTAGCGTACTGGGTGAGTCTCTTCGATTCCAGACAGGATTGGACGCCTGCTGTGCACCGGGCATTAGTTTCCAGCCAGGGGAGATTGTGCCCCGAGGGGACACTTACCCATACCTGGAGACATTTTTGGCTGTCACTACTGGGGCGGTGGGGGGGGGGGTGAAACCTAGTGGGCAGAGATCTCTACCCCATCCCATCACCATCATCACACAGTTAATGTGACCCAAGTGTCAACAGTGCCAAGGTTGAGAAACCTCGAGATGGACAGTTACCGTAGTGGGTGACATTGCAATATGGAGAATGAGCAAAGGAGCTGGAGTGTTGCCTTTCCAGAGGCTGTCAGGAAAGGATCACAAGGGAGGGCCTGGAGCTGAGTCTTGAATGATGGGATTGGTGGAATGTGGGACGCTGTGGGGGTCAAGAGCAGCCCAGTAAACTTGGACATGGGAGACTCTGTGTCCCAGGCAGAGATGACGCTGTGGGACCAGGCAGCGGGCGACCTCATCAGCTGTGTTCACGCGAGAGCCACAAGCCCCTGTAGCTGTTGAGCCTGTGAAGTGTGGTGAGGGCGGCTGAGAAACTGATACCTGTACTTGGTTCTGTTCTTGGAAAACTTTTCAGTCTGTATGGGCCAGTTTGGATATGTGATATACTTTTCTACTGTCAATTTTATGAACTCTTAATAGAGATTGGATATTTCCCCTGAAAATTTATCATCCAAATTGAGAGGGCCTGAAAGTAGAAGCTCCACCCCAGATTTCAAAGGCTTAGTGCTATGAGGGGGAGAAGCAAAGTAAAACCTCATCCTTGCTAATTTTACTCTCTGTGTTGATTTTTACTACAGTAATTTTAATGTTGACTTTGCTGGAGTTTTTATATTGGCTATTAATAGTATTTTAGTTCTTCTGGGTCAAATAAAATCTATAAAGTGCCATTTCGCCTTTTCTTTTTTACCTTTTTAATGTGGCGACTGGAAAACTAACCGCTGCACATGTCACTCACCTTGGGCTCATCTTGGCACTGTTGCCTCCCCTGCTTGGGGGGGCCTCTGCCTGAGATGGGGGGCAGCATGGTCAGGTTTCTGTGACAGCTGCACCTTCTTGCCACAGTGTTAAAAGAAGATTCCAGAGGGCAGACTGCTTAGTTTAGGAGGGTTGACTGCTACCGCAGAGAGAAGCCATGATGCTCCCAACAGGCAGTGTCCACTGCCCATCCGTGAGCAGGCCCAGAGGAAGGAGGAGCCTCTGGGGAGAGGCGGGCACAGCCCAGAACAGACTGACTCTTCCAAGAGAACTGACAGCTAAGAGTCAGCAGAGACACCAAGGCCGCTGCAGGTTTGCCTGCACCTGGAGTCACTGCCTCAGCCTCCTCTCACCTCACCCTGGCTGCCGCCTGCACCGCACTCAGGGGTACAGGCTTGATACTCCTCCACCTGCTGTCCAGCACTCCACCACTTACCTGCTGTGCAGTCTTGAGCAAGCGGCTTTCCCTTTTAGGGGCTGCCAGTTTGCGTGACCTCACCCATGTCGCACCGAGAGAGCTGGAGACAGCAGAGGTACCAGGGTGGCAGTCTTCCCGGGGTCTTTGGGAGTGACAGCATGGAGCCCTGGGGAGGGGGGGCACGCGGTACTCCCCAGTTTGCAGGAGGGCTCCCTATCTCTGATCTCTACATTGGGTCCCCACTTCACCGTTCTAGAAACAGGCTAAGTAGCTGCTGAGGGTCAGACCACTTGACAGGTAGAGTTCAGATGAGGAATGTTGATTTTGTCTAAGGCCGCTGTTCCTGTAGGTTTCTCAGTGTGCACTCAGACAGGGTGTGCACCTCTGTGAGCCTCTTTTCCCACCCGCTGAATGAGGAGGGCAGCAGCAGGGCCACAGCTGGCTGCTGGGAGGGGAGAGTAAGTTGAGTGAAGGGCACGGAGCAGCCCAAGGGGTTTCAGCCGGTGGCTGTTCTTTGTTGACTCCTCTGCCCGGTAAGCCCTCCAGACTCTGCAATGGCTGGTATGAACCCATTTTCCAGCCCTGCTTCTTGGGCTGCTTCTGAGCACCAGCATGGGTGAGCAGGAATTGGCATGAAACATGCCCAGAATGAGGCCAAATCCTAAAAGCCAGACCTGAGAGGGAACTTAAGAGGTTCTTGACCCCAGATTCTGGTTGTCTGGAAACCCCTTCAGCCACAGCGTGTCTGGAAACCCCTCCAGCCACAGCATATCTGGAGTGGGAGGAATTGGCAACTTGACACAAATAGTGAAGTCAGGCGATACAAGGTCAGTGCAGAAGTCCTGTAGGCTGCTGGGGGGAGGGTCTCTTGGTGGGTCCTTTCGCTATTTCTGCTGAAAGGTAAATATCGAGTCAGCTGACCCATTTTAGAACTGTCCTCAATTTCTCATGTGCATGGAAACTCCTGGCATCTGGTTAAAAGGCAGACTCTGATTCAGACTTCCAGGGCAGGACTAGCCAGCTTCCAGGAGACCCTGCTGGTGCAAGCCCCCTCGGACACCTCATGCCTGGACACAAAGAAGCATGATTCTTTGTGGTGGATCAAGATGAAGACCAGATCTGTCTGCTGGGAAGCCTTGGCGGAGTGAAGGGTGGGCCACCCCTGCCAGTGATGTTTTGGAGCAGTCTGTGAAAGGGCAGGGGAACCTGCAGGGCCTTGCACTGTGCGAGCCTCATCTTCCTCAGGGTGGAGCACCCCCGAGAGCCGGGGCTTTGCCTGTGTCACTGACTGATGTGGCTTTGTGCTAGAACACGGTTTGGCACACAGTAGGTGTTCAGGCAGTGCTCAGTGATGACAGAATGGTTGTGCTGACGTGGACAGCTCTTCCGGGCCTTGTGCAGCGTGAACCGAGCAAGTTTCTGAAGGGTAGTAGCGACCAAGGCTTCCCACTGTTGGCACTGCAGGCGTGGGGTAGGTGACTGTGGGGGCACTGATGTGGACATTGTAGGGTGGTTAGCAGCATCCCTCAGGTGACTGCTGGTTGTGGCAGCTAGGACTGTGTTTACACATTAGCTGTGGCCCCCCGCCAAGCGGCAAAATTGGCCTCCTTTGAGAACCCCTGGGGTGATAGGAGACTGCATTTGGGAGAGTGAGAGAGGCCTTCACTTGCATGATTTCCTTCAGGGGTGTTTTTCGTTCTAATCTCAGGGAAGGCAGGTGTGGGTGGCTCCACCCCAAGCTGAGTTGTGACTTCTTTGGAAAGAGGGAAGAAGATAGCACTGGAGATTTTGCTCCAAAGAGACTCTGTACACTTTCTCTGTTGTTTTAATGTGAAGATTGTATCTTTGACTTGAGTAGTGCACAAAGTTTTAAAACTGGGAGTGACATAAGGACCCGCTTCCAGGATTGTGAGGACTGAGCAGCCCTGACGCACTCGGCACTGTGCTTGGAGCAGGAGTGTGACCAGCCTCGGCTCATTCTGGCAGCCCGTGGGCAGACAGAAGCAGCTGTGGTCCTGTCACATGTGGGCATGCTGGGGCTCAGTGAGGGAGAGGGACTTGCCCAAGGACACACAGCAAAGTAGGTGGAAATCAGTCTTTTGACGTAGGGGCCATTTCTGCTCTGCCATCTGCTGCCAGAAATCTGGGCGTCCTGATCATCAACAGGTGGACTGACTGGGGGCTGCACCAGGTCCCTCAGCTTGTTGATTTCTTTGATGTTCGCCAGTCACCTGGCACCCAGGAAGCCATCAAGACTGGAAGTGGCTGGGGTGTAGCCCCAGGAATTGTCTGTTTCTGTTCAGTAGCACTGGGAGTTCTGCCAAGGCTCTAAGGCCTGAGGCAGTGGACATTAGCAGAGCTGGTCCTCGTGGGTGAGCCCTGGCTGCCAGCCCTGTGAAGCTTCTCCTGCTCAGACACCTCCATGGCTCTCTAGCACCCAAGTCTAAAGATTTCTGCTTACTGGGTTCGCATCCCATGCCACGCATAGCTTTCTCCACGGCACAGCCAGACTCCTAAGGGGAACAGCAATGGTGGGGGTGGAGCCCAGGGTACCTACTTTTTGCCAGATGTGAAAAGTACCAGGACTTTTCATGTGCTCCCTTATTTAATTCTGGCAAAAAGCTATGTGAGATACTGCAGGCCTGATTCTCATTTTACAGGTGAGAAAACTGATGCACACAGAGGTTAAATTATCTTGCCTAAGATCGCATAGCTCACGGCCCAGCCCCGGTCTGCAGCCTGCCTCCTGGCCAGACTTGTAGCGAGGAGGCCAGCCTACTGATCTTGTTGGGAGAATGTGCCAGCGTAATGCCAGCAGAGAGAGCACATTCTGGGGGTCTGGAGGGCCAGGCCAGGTCTGCAGCTCCCTGTCCACGCAGTGTGGCCTGGGCCGGAGTCCTGGCCAGCCTTCCTCCAAGGCTGATTCTAGGTCTCAAGGTCCCAAAGTTATGCAGCAAACAAGAAATCACCACAATTTCATCTCATTTTTCCTTTCCCTTCTTTTGTAGCATACCTTGAGAACTATCTAGCTTTTAATATATTTATAGGGAAATGTACTGATAGGTAATCTCTGTAGAATAAATAATATAAAAATTCAGAAAAAGGGAGGAAATTGAAGCTCCATTTAACATGTTAGTGTATACCTTTCTGGGGTATTTTCCAATGGGTGTCAGAATGGGATCAGATAACCTCTTTAATCACCTAACATCCCAGGGTAATGAATCTTCTTTTTTTTTTTTTTTTAAGATTTATTTATTTATTCATACAGAACTGGGGTACAGGCCAGAGGTGCAGAGGCAGTGAGAGGATTCACCAGAGACAGAGTGGGGATCAGAACAGGCAGATCACCGAAGTACACTGCTGAGGGGAGCAGCGGGCGGGTCAGGAGAGGTCTGCCACGCCATGTGGCCACCTCCGGGGCAGGCGGGAATCGAACTCATGCGGAAGTGGCTTTAGCTTCTCAGTGCTGTGCTTTAACCCGCTGCGCCACCAGGGAGGGCCCTCAATGAATCCTTTTTTAATGGTCATTCCAGGTCTGTTCTAGTTGGACTGTGGAATATTTGCTTAGAGTGTCTAACCAGAGACGATGATAAATCCTGTTGCCCTAAGAACTTCACTAACAGTTACCATAGCACCCCCCTGAGACAGGCAGTTGAGCTCCATTTTACAGACTAGGCTGTTGATGTTGACACACCACAGGGCCCTGGCGTGGCCCTGGCAGAGCTGGCTGTGTCCTCGCCGCTCCTGTGGCCTCCCGCCATGCCCTTAAGTGCAGGGCCACTGCTCTGTGCCTCTTCTCCCCTATCCTCACCACATCCTGTATCTTTGTGGCGCAGGCGAGCCAGTGCTGGCCGGAAAGTCGGGCAGACCAGTCAGGAAAAGCCACAGTGGTCTGCCGTTGCCAGATAAGTGGTCTTGGCCAGAGGAAAGGCGAGTGTTCTTGCTGTAGCAGCCCCCTCCGGCAGGCACCTGTCTGGGAATTTGCGGGGCCTTCTGGGGTAAAATCCAGACTCACTCAGCCGGGGGATTTCCTCAGGCCTCTAGGGTGCGCGTGGTCTGAGTAGGTCTGCTCCTCCAGGGTTTGCAGGGTGCCAGATGCCTTGCCACCTGCGTGGCTACTGAGCCGCTGAGGCCTATGAAGTGGGGGACACTGTTTAGAGAGGCTAAAGGCCTCGACCAGAATCACCTGTGAAGCTCACATTGGCAGAATTTGGGGTGTCGGGCTGAGTCATGTGCCCTTCAGAATGGGGGCTTAGCCTGACTCAGAGGCTGCTCCAGACACTTGGAGTATTGTATCTTATTCCCCCGCAGTGACCCGAGGAGGGGGTGCTGTTATTGTCCTCATTTTACAGATGAGAACACCTTTTGTACTTTTTACTTGTACTTCAAAATGTTAACCGTGAACTTCTTTTTCAGGTGAAATCTTACACAGAGTGCCAACTCAGGCGTCAGATCAGAAAAAGTTCTGGCAGTTGAAGTTCATGTGAAGCAGAGAGGGAGACAGAGTTCAATCTGCCCCTGGAAGTCAGGGCTGGGGAAACTGAGTCCCATTGAGGGAAGAGGCATGTCCTGGCTGCAGAGTGCTTTTCGGGGTCACTGGGGTAGAGCTGGCTTGCTCCTTGGCCTGGGCTGGGCACACTCCTCTCCGCTCTGCCTTTCTAGGCTGCCTGGTCCCTTCCCTTGCCCCAGAGGCCACAGATCCAGCATCACGGTCAGGGGCTGATGGTTTAGATGAAGACAGGACTAGGTGTGCCACCGCCTCTCAGGACAGTCGGGCAGGCGGGAGAGGTTCCCAGAGGTGGATGTCGTACCTCGGGAAATTGTTCATGTTTCCCCCCACAGTGGTTGTTTGAATGAAGACATTGGTGACTTGCAACAGGACAGATGACGCCAGCTTGATTTTAAGACCCTGAATTTTGGAGTCAGACATCAGTTTAAATCTTGGCCTTGTCCTTATCAGAGTGTGGCCCCAAAAGAGGTACTTAACTTCCTTGAGCCACGGATGCCTCAAATGTAAGATGGGACCTCGTGCCTCCCTGATCTGGTGGGAGCAGCAGATGGGGCCACGCTCACAAGGCCCCAGCCCGGTGCCAGCTGAGAGAGCGCACGCTGTCA